CTGCAAGCAGTCTGCGTTCTGCTGTTTATTTTGTTGACAGTTACATAGACAGATTCTTTAATACAAATGCATAAAATCGGTGATTTACAATGTGATTAGGTTGTCTGACAAAACATCCACTTGCACAGTTTGAGATCGATTGGATCATTGGATGAAGAGATATTTACAAAAACCGGGTCCACATGCATTTCATGCCAAACTATAACTAATGATCCAGCTTGGGTGAGCAGCTAAAGCTTGCAAACAACGTCGAGTGCTTTTGTAAGGTTGATGGATTCTTCACTTTTCCAACATATGGTAGACAGAGCAGGACGTGTAGGTCGTGGATACACCTTAACGGTAAGTGTCTGTAAAGTCCTTTTCGGACCAAGCAAGCGAAGACCTTTCCGACGATGTTCAGGACGGGGAACCCGAGGTAGTTGTTGAAGTAGCTTCTATCACCGTTGTTCATCAACTGACGATTGAATGTCCTCACAGACCCGCGGCCAGTGGTCAGCCGTGCTTCTTGCTGAATTCTTTACATTGGTGTTTCCTAGGAGACTGTAGAGGCGGCTGGTTGGGCTGGACTTTGTGTTCCGGTGAATGGACGGATCAACGGATTTCTGATATGACATGCATCCAAACAAGATTAGCGACCCTGACAACCCTGTCCGGTAAGTCGCCTCTTACAGTATAGGTTGCTAAAGGCCACTTCTATCCCGATAATCACTGGAGATTTCTGTGTAGTAGCACGGGATTTGGAGTTCTTCAGTAATGAAAACTACAAGGCTAAAGGGTGTTATGTGATGGCAAATTTATTTTTCTGGGACGAATCCACCAGGGTACAATTTCCCCTCAATACATAAAATGCTGAAAGAATTGGCTAACAATGTCCATTTGCACAGGTATCATGTCATAGACCAAATACATCTGGATTGTGACACAGGGTGCAGCCCCTACATGTACTTCATGTACATGCTGTAGAGTTTACAACATACACCACTGCTCAATATATATTGAAATATATATCCTGAAATATGATATACAGCACTAACCTGCAGGTGTGAACATGTGTTTGCACGATCCACTTGTGCAGCCCTGTAAGGATTTGTTTAGTAGAAAAACAAACATTGTACCACAATATCATAGACCTATCTTAAAGTCAACACACACTCAATGCTAATGCATCTCATTATATTTTACAGAAAAAACGGTACCTAAATTATAATCACGAAATATAATAAAAAAGGAATCCTGAGGCTTTCTTCATTTTGAAACTGGGGAAATCTAGAGACTTGCCACATAATCTAGACTTGAATGGGCTTTGAATACACAATGCCATTTAGAAAGTTGTCAAATATATTATGAGTTCTATTTGGGATTACAGTTTTTTTCAGTAAAGTACAGATTCTAGTAATTTTGTTTAGTTGAGTCCCATCCGGGATTCGAACCCACACCCCCAGACTCAGGCACCTAATCACTAGCACTCAGTGTGTGGCATGGACTTTCTTGGATGTTTGTTTCAGGGTCTGTGTGACAGACTAAAGAGTCCTATATACATCTATTTACATTCATGCATTGAATGTATGTCTTGTCAATGACCACTGTCTGCAGAAACCTCATCCAAAGTCTGCAAATTACAGACCTGAGACACTATGAACATATTTGCTACCCCTCGCTGAGTTCTACCAGTCTGAACCATGCCAGACACCCGTTATGTGTTCATCGCGGTGTACGCGACCCATTCCCAGTTCGAATATTTATAGAAACAACAAAAACAATACAAACGTAACACCTACATACGTGTGCCGGGTACATGACACGTGTCAAATTTACAAGATTATGGAAGAAGACAAGCACTGAGAAGAGGAAAAGATCTTAGCGATCTTTGGAACAAAGGAAACAACTCACTTCTGTAAGAATCTTGAAGCTGCCTGTCAGTAACAAGTTAACAGCAATACCACAAAAGAATACGTTTCGGAAAAAATACGTTTCAAAACTTCCAAAACGTTTTGTCAACAAATAAGATTGAACACATACTTGAGCCTCTTTTCTGATAACCTTAGAGTATCGTGCTTGGATAATTTGATCGGAGAGGCTTTAGGTAAATAGTACTGTGAAAATGGTAATATGCTAAGCCCTAACCTTCAAACCAATATGTATGCCATGCCATGAGGACATAGAGGCGAAAATGATTTGGAAACTACCTCACAAAACCATTTCTGAGATAGTTGTTGGTTAAAGTTGCTTGGATCTAGCTTTAGTCACTGAGCCGAGAACCTTTGGAGTTTATGTGATTTGCTTCACGATGCTGTTACGTTTTTCATTAGATTCTGGTCTCGTGTTCAGTTATGAATGAGATAAAATACTGTGAAATAAAAGATTGCGTTAAATGCTAGACAGAACGATTACGGATGCACTACACAGATTTTTAGGCTTGGATTCTGTCTGTCTATCTAAATATGTGTGTTTACAATTATTATTCACATCTTAGAGTACGCAGATAAGTACAAACGCAACTGACATTATGTTAAGCTATGTCTCGGACAAAATACTGGGGAATAATAGATGGCGTTAATCGATAACTACTGCGCCGTACCGTTTTAGACTTGGAGTCATAATTAGAAAGGTCAAAGACGAATACACACATGCCTTGTCTAAGAGACAGCTGCTCAAACTGCCACAAGTCATGTCGTCATAACAACGTGCACCTTCAGTATTCGCATCTTAGAGTGCGTAGATAAGTACAAATGTAACTGACATTATGTTTCGATACTTTGAATGAATTAAGGAGCATGTACCTGCTATGGTATCAAGTTCCATCACATCATCAACAGACCCTACATCATTACAAACCCCTGTTTTCTGATCACAAGCTACACAATCCCCACTGCATGTGTGCTGACAGTGACTCCCGTACGCCCCGTCCTTACACCCACGACTACAGCTACCGTCTACCTCTGCAAATTACAGACTGAGGCACACTGAACATATTTGCCAATGTGAACCATGTCAGACACACGTTATCTGTCCATCACTTGTAGACGACCGATTCCCAGTTTGAAGATTTATAGAAACAAGAAAAACAACATAACACCTACTTACGTGTGTCAAGTACATGACACGTGTCAAATGTACTAGATTTAGAAACAAGACAAACACCATGAGTGGGAAAACATTTTAGCGAAAGACATGAAATTGGCACAAAGGAAACAACTCACTTCTGTATGAAACTTGAAGCTGCCTGTGAGTAACAACCTCAAAAATAATACAACAAAAGCATGTTTCAAAACTTCCTAAACGTTTTGTCAACAAGTAAGATTCAGCACATATCTGAACCTGTTTTCCGATAACCTTACAATATCGTGCTTGGATAATTTGATGGGAGATTCTTTAGGTAAATAGTACTGTGAAAATGGTAAACTGCAAAGCCCGAACCTTCAAACCAATATGTTTGCCAAGCCATGAGGACATAGAGGCGAAACTGATTTGGAAACTACTTCACAAAACCATTTAGGAGATAGTTTCTAGCTTTAGTCTCAGTGCCGAGAGGCTTTGGAGTTTATGAGATTTGCTTCCTGATGCTGATACGTTTTTCATTAAATTTTTAGGTTTGGATTCTGTCTCTCTATCTTAATATGTGTGTTTACAATTGTTATTCGCATCTTAGAGTACGTAGATAAGTACAAAGGTAAATGACAGTACGTGTTGATACTCTGAACACATTAAGGAGCATGTACCTGCAAGCATACCAGGTTTTATCACAGCATCAACAGACCCTACGTCATTACAAACCCCTGTCTTCTGATCACAAGCTACACAATCCCCACTGCATGTGTGCTGACAGTGACTCCCGTATGCCCCGCCCCTACACCCACGAGTACAGATACCGTCCACCTCACATACACCATCCAGACACGAGCCACAAGCCTCGTCACATCTCTCTCCGAACCATCCATCAGTACAGGCTGAACACCGTCCATGGCGGTCACACACATTGTCTCTACAATGCAGACATTTCTTGTGGCAGTGTTTTCCATAGTACCCTGGAACACAGCCCTCCACGCACGATCCATCATGGCTGTAACACAGGGAAGACTTGCAGGGGGCACTACACGGGGTGTGACAGTGTGACCCGTGCCACCCAGTCTCACATCCTTCCTGACAAACTGAAGTATGTCGATCACAGTGCTTGAGTCCATCTCTTCCTTTGTAGCACTTCTCGGGGCACGTGTTACTGCAACGGTGTCCATGGTAACCTGGAAGACACTGTTCACATACCCCAGTCTGTCTGTCACAACCAGTGGTCGCGCAATGCTGGCATCTATCTTCGCACTTCTGTCCATAGAAGCCTGCTTCACATCCATGTAGACAGTACCCAGTGATGCTGCACCTTCCCATCAGACAGTTGTCACATGTCATGTTACAGAAGCCCCCTGCCCATTTTCCATCACACCCATCAAGACATTCTCCTGTGTGTATGTGACAGACTGAAGACAGTCCCTTGCAGTTGAGTGGACATCGTCCATCACAGTGTGCCCCGGTCCACCCTTCACCACAAGATTCAGAACAAGCACCTGTATGTTTGTCACAGTAGACAGCGCCACCTACCGGAAAGCTGGAACATCGTGGTGGACAGGGTGTGTCGCAGTGTCGTCCATAGAACCCTGGCCTACATCTGAAACATTCTCCAGTGGACCTGTCACATCCGTCTCCGTCACAACGTCCTTGGCATGTAGAGCTGCAGTTTGATCCGTGACACCCGGTGTTACATGACTGACATCTAAGACGACCATTCCCATGTCTACACCCACTTGTCTTACATGAGTCGTGACTATGGTGCTCTGAAAACAATTATATTGTATGTTAAAAATTAGAAGTGTCAGAAAAAATAACCCGTATTGTATTTAGGAAACCATATGAATATGACAAATTTAACTTGAACAAATTTCATTTTCTTTTCATTTTTAATCCAATAACCATGGTACAATTCCATTGTATCATTATAAACGTGTATTTACCAAGAGAGTGTGTCACAGCAAGCAGGGCAGAGATCAGCACCACAAGCGACAGGATCTGTCCGCCTTTCATTGTTCCAGGGGACACGTGATCTACTGATGAAAACAGATATAAGGTTTAAAAGATAACTGGATTACCTGAAGGGAAAGCAAGTTTGTTTCTTAACAAGCAATAGTGGACTAGGTGGAGAAGGACGCATGTTCTCTAACTACGTTACAAGTTGTAGCAATATCACATATGTAGACATGCTTTTATGCGTCCAGTGGTAGGTTGTCGCGCTTTGGTTAAGTTTGCCTCATTGTGCTTGTTTTTGAGAGGGCGACAACGCGACAATGTCCCTTCTCGGATTCCATACAAAACCCATACAAAAGTTTTGCAGTGAGTCATAATCATTATATCACTTACCTACTTGTAGCGTGGAGGTTTTATTTTAGATTACACTCGCGGAAGGTACCTTGGCCCATATTAATCTATTCGACATTCACTGAGCATTTACAGTTACTTAACATTATAAAATATATATGTTTCACCTTATTGCGACCCTTTATAATGAATTATGTTCTCAAGAACAATGACGTCAGAACCGTATGCGTTCGTGCGTGCTTGTGTGTCTGTCCCTGTCCGCCTGTCTGTGTGCCCACCGTGCCTGTCCGACTGTGTGCCCACCGTGCCCGTCTGTCTGTGGACCCAACGTACCTTTCTGTCTGTGTGCCCAACATGCCTGTCTGTCTGTGTGCCCAAAATGTCTGTCTGTGTGTCCACCGTGCCTGTCTGTCTGTCCTCCGTGCCTGTCTGTCTGTGTGCCCACCGTGCCTGCCTGTCTGTCCTCCGTGCATGTCTGTCTGTCCACTGTGCCTGTCTGTCTCTCCTCCGTGCCTGTCTGTCTGTGTTCCCGCCCTGCATGTCTGTATGTGTGCCCACCGTGCCTCTCTGTCTGTGTGCCCGTCGTGCCTGTGTGTCTGTGTGTGCACCCTGCCTGTCTGTTTGTGTGCCCACCGTGCCTGTCTGTCTGTCCTCCGTGCCTGTCTGTCTGTGTGCCCACCGTGCCGTCTGTATGTGTGCCCACGGTGACTGTCTGTTTGTGTGCCCATCGTGCCTGTCTGTCTGTCCTCCGTGCCTGTCTGTCTGTGTGCCCACCGTGCCTGTCTGTCTGTCCTCCGTGCATGTCTGTCTGTCCACTGTGCCTGTCTGTCTGTCCTCTGTGCCTGTCTGTCTGTGTTCCCACCCTACATGTCTGTATGTGTGCCCACCGTGCCTCTCTGTCTGTGTGCCCATCGTGCCTGTCTGTCTGTGTGCCCACCGTACCTGTCTATATGTGTGCCCACCGTGAGTGTCTGTTTGTGTGCCCATCGTGCCTGTCTGTCTGTGTGCCCAACATGCCTGTCTGTGTGTCCACCGTGCCTGCCTGTCTGTCCTCCGTGCCTGTCTGTCTGTCCACCGTGCCTGTATGTATGTGTGACCACCGTGCCTGTCTGTTTGTGTGCCCACCGTGCCTGAGCTTACTGTCTGCCCAACATGCTTCTCTGTCTGTGTGCCAAACATGCCTGTCTGTCTGTCCTCCGTGCCTCTCTGTCTATGTGCCCGTTCGCCTGTCTGTCTGTGTGCCCAACATGCCTGTCTGTGTGTCCACCGTGCCTGTCTGTGTGCCCACCGTGCATGTCTGTCTGTGTGCCCGTCGCGCCTGTCTGTCCTACGTGCCTGTCTATGTGTGTGCCCACCGTGCCTGTCTGTCTTTCCTTCGTCCCTGTCTGCCTGTCTCTGTGCTCGCCGTCCCTGTCTGCCTGTTTGTCCGCCGTCCCTGTCTGTCTGCCCACCGTGCCTGTCTGTCGGTCTGCCCACCATATTTGTCTGTCTTTGTGCCCACCGTGCCTGTCTGTCTGTCCTTCGTCCCTGTCGCCTGTCGGTGTGCTCGACGTCCCTGTCTGCCTGCCCAGCGTCCCCGTCTGTCTGTCTGCCCACCATATTTGTCTGTCTGTGTGCCCACCATATCTGTCTGTCTGTGTGCCCACCGTGCCTGTCTGTCAGTCTGTCCACCGTATCTGTATGTCTCTGTGCCCGCCGTGCCTGTCTGCCCAACATATCTGTCTGTCTGCCCACCGTGTGCCTGTCTGTCTGCCCACCATTCCTGTCTGTCTGTGTACATCACATACACACCATATACAACACATGTACAACAAACATACACACCATATACAACACATGTAGAACATATATACATCACATACACACCATATACAACACATGTACAACATACATACATCACATTCACACCATATACAACACATGTACAACATATAAACACCACATACACACCATATACAACACATGTACAACATATATACATCACATACACACCATATACAACACATGTACAACATATATGCATCACATTCACACCATAAACAACACATGTACAACATACATACATCACATACACACACCATATATACAACACATGTACAACATATATACATCACATACATACTATATACAACACATGTACAACATATATACATCACATACACACACACATTACAACACATGTACAACATATATACCTCACATTCACACCATATACAACACATGTAAAAACATATATACATCACACATACACACCATATACAACACATGTACAACATATATACATCACATACACACACCATATACAACACATATGTACAACATATATACATCACATACACACCATATACAACACATGTACAACATATATACCTTACATTCACAACTATATACAACACATGTACAACATATATACATCACATACACACACCATATACAAAACATGTACAACATACAAACATCACATATACACACCATATAGAACACATGTACAATATACATACATCACATACACACTATATATACAACACATGTAAACATACATACATCACATATACACCATATATGACACATACAACATACATACATCACATACACACCATATACAACACATTGGCATATACATACACACATCACATACACACCATATACAACACATGTACAACATATATACATCACATACATAATATCGATATACAAACACATTTGGCAACATACATACATCACATTACACACTATATACAACACATGTACAACATACATACATCATCATACACACTAATATACGACACATGTAATAACAATAATACACACATCAAATGCACACCATATACGACACATTTGGCAACATACATACATCACATACACACTTATATACAAATACATGTACAACATACATACATCATTAAACACACTATATATGACACATGTACAAATATACATCACACATAATAACTATATACAACACATTTGTAATATACAAACATCACATACACACCATATACAACACATGTACAACATACATACATCACAAACAAACCATATACAACACATTTGTAAACATATACATCACACACACCATATACAACACATGTACAACATATATACATCACACACAATAACATATACAATACATTTGTAACATTATATACATCACACACACCCATATACAACACATGTACAACATACATACATCAGATACACACCATATACAACACATTTGCAAAATGTATACATCACACTCACACCATATACAACACATGTGCAACATATATACATCACAGACACACCATATACAACACATGTACAATATATATACATCACATACACACCATATACAACACATGTACAACATACATACATCACATACATACCATATACAACACATGTACAACAAACATACACACCATATACAACACATGTAGAACATATATACATCACATACACACTATATACAACACACATATACAACATATATACATCATATTCACCATATACAAATACATGTACAATATATAAACACCACATACACACCATATACAACACATGTACAACATATATACATCACATACACACCATATACAACACATGTACAACATATATGCATCACATTCACACCATATACAACACATGTACAACATACATACATCACATACACACCATATACAACACATGTACAACATATATACATCACATACATAATAACACTCATATACAACACATGTACAACATATATACATCACATACATAACTCATATACAACACATGTACAACATATATATACATCACATTCACAACCATATACAAATACATGTACAACATATATACATCACATACACACCATATACAACACATGTACAACATATATACATCACATACACACCATATACAACACATGTACAACATATATACCTCACATTCACACCATATACAACACATGTACAACATATATACATCACATACACACCATATACAACACATGTACAACATACAAACATCACATACACACCATATAGAACACATGTACAATATACATACATCACATACACACCATATACAACACATGTACAACATACATACATCACATACACACCATATACGACACATGTACAACATACATACATCACATACACACCATATACAACACATTGGCAACATACATACATCACATACACACCATATACAACACATGTACAACATATATACATCACATACACACCATATACAACACATTTGCAACATACATACATCACATACACACCATATACAACACATGTACAACATACATACATCACATACACACCATATACGACACATGTACAACATACATACATCAAATGCACACCATATACGACACATTTGCAACATACATACATCACATACACACCATATACAACACATGTACAACATACATACATCACAAACACACCATATACGACACATGTACAACATACATACATCACACACACACCATATACAACACATTTGCAATATACAAACATCACATACACACCATATACAACACATGTACAACATACATACATCACATACAAACCATATACAACACATTTGTAAAACATATACATCACACACACACCATATACAACACATGTACAACATATATACATCACATACACACCATATACAATACATTTGTAACACATATACATCACACACACTCCATATACAACACATGTACAACATACATACATCAGATACACACCATATACAACACATTTGCAAAATGTATACATCACACTCACACCATATACAACACATGTCCAACATATATACATCACATACACACCATATACAACACATGTACAACATATATACATCACATTCACACCATATACAACACATGTACAACATATAAACACCACATACACACCATATACAACACATGTACAACATATATACATCACATACACACCATATACAACACATGTACAACATATATGCATCACATTCACACCATATACAACACATGTACATCATATATACATCACATACACACCATATACAACACATGTACAACATACATACATCACATACACACGATATACAACACATGTACATCATATATACATCACATACACACCATATACAACACATGTACAACATATATACATCACACACACACCATATACAACACATGTACAACATATATACATCACATGCACCAGAGGAGAAAATACTGCTGTATATGTGTTCAGAAAATGAACATTATGAACACGTGATAATATAATCGTACATTTTGAGCGCTACTTCAATCCTTTTTTATTATTTATGATCCCTATTATATCATTTTCGCAAACACGGATGGTGTCATGGGTGATTGATATCCTGTCTTTGTATTCCGACAGAATGGATCGTTGTCCTCGATATCCATCACTAGATTGTCCTGTCCAGACTATATTTGTTACTGGCTGCCGTCGTACAAATCTAATACATTCTAATAATGACTGGTGTATAGATGCACAACTTCTCCATTTACAAGAAAGAGCGGCGTTTCGGTGTAGATTCTGACGCTGTTGTCAAGCAATTTATGATTGATACGTCTACATGAAGACGACGAATAACTTCTTTGAGAGGCAACTGAAGTTGGAGTACTAAGTACTTGCTTGAAGAGGGTGGTAGAATCTACACCGAAACAACACTCCTCGTTGTAAATAAGGAAAGAGTAATACATACTAGTAACAGGCTCGAAGAAAAGAGTTTTATGGAGGGGTGCCTAATTCTATATTAACAACAGATCAGCGGGGTGACATGTTATCTCCTTACGTGCACTGCACTTGAGTGTAAAATGCATGAACTGATTCAATAGTACCGACACGGGGCGACAGTTGTCTGACTTGGTGGCACATAATCACGACTACAGCGGTCGTCAAGTTGATAATCTTTGGTTGTATACTCCCCAGGGAGTTGCTAACGAGGTGACGACTGATCCACTGACAGGGATAGTAAAAGTGTAGATCTTTAAAGGGTTGTGTATTACATGTTATAAAAATTAACCTACGTTAAGGGCAATCAGAAAAAAGGATATAATGATGATAATATAAGCATGCGTGTAATGCACTATTTTCCATGTAAAACATGTTCAAAGCACAAGATATAGAATTATATAAAACAAACATTAAAAGATAATGAAAGACTAGCAATACATGGAACACAATTCAATGGATTTTGTTTGGACTCATAGGCTAATATGCAGAAGTGAGCCTTTAGTAAGGATTTAAAAGTAGAAAGTTCTGTACACTCACGTATATATTGAGGTAGTTGATTCCAGGTTGTGGAGGCTGCATATGAAAATGGCCTTTCGCCATATGTAGAAGTCTTCATAGTGGGAATAACGAGGAGACGTTTATGCTGAGAACGGACAGAGCGACATGTGCGGTGCTGAGTGAGGGACTGGGCCAGATACGAAGGGGCAGATCAAGACAGACAGCAGGAAGTGAGGCACAGAATCTTGAATTAAATCCTGTAGTGAATGGGCAGTCAATGTAAAGAATGAAGGAGTGGCAGAGTATAAATAAACATATCTTCAAAACTTGTTTTCCGGGTGACGCTGACCTTTACACCCAATACAAAAGTTGTTTCAGTGGGTTGTACAAATCTGTGTGCCCATCGTGCATGTCTGTCTGTGAGCTCGCCGTCCCTGTCTGCATGTGTGTCCGCCGTCCCTGTCAGCCTGTCTGTCTGCCCGTGTGTCCACCGTGCGTGTCTGTCTGTGTGCCTGCCTGACTTTGTGCCCACTGCCTGCCTATCTGTCTATGTGCCCTCCTTGCCTGTCTGTCTATGTGTGTGGCCGCCGTGCCTGTTTGTCTGTCTATGTGCCCGCTGACCTTCTCATTGTACAAACAGGTATTGATTGTGCTGACAATGGGCACAAAGCCATTGTTGTTGGGACTGATGTTGATCTTCTTGTGCTCCTCATGCATTTGTGTGCTTCAGAAAGATTGTACTTCCTTAAAACTGGTAGCGGAAAGACTGCTGATCGTCTATATAGCATTTCGTGGGTACGGCAAGCAAGAGCTTCAATTCTGGGTTGCTCTTTCTCCATGCCATGACTGGTTGTGACATTACATCAGCCTTGTACAGACGGTGAAAGCAAAAAGCCGTCATGTTGTTCACAAAACGGTAGTTGCAGCAATTCAAACACAGTATACCTTGCAGAGGAGGATGAAGAAGATCAGGTATTACCATCTGATGAAACATCTCATGAATTGTCTTACAGCCACGCTGATGAGCGTGAAGTTGAAGATGAGCCACAGCCTTCAACTTCCTACAGACTGACAAGGAAAAGAAAACTATCTTTATAGAGTGAGTGAGTGAGTTATTATTTAACGTCACATCGGCAATATTTCAGCCATATCGTGACGAGAACATTCGATATTAGAATGAAATTATCTTTATAGATGTTTAGTCATACGTGTTTGAAGATAGCGTGTTACATAATCTGTAAATAGTGTTTGATAGTCTTGGTTTTCTGCAGAATATCAGTTATTTTTAGGTACTGTCAGGTTGAGTTATGATATTTTCTTGAAATTGTGAGTATCCAAGGGCGATATCTCCTTTTAAAGCATGGAAATGGTTACTTAAATGTGTTTTTATGAAGTTATGAAATTTCACTTGCTTGATTTTTGGGTGTAAAACATCAAATTATTGCTATTGTTTGGCCACTTATTGAGTTTTCATTGACTTTTAAAAATGCAAAAAAATTGCAAATTTTCAGTTTCAGTCAAAATGTTAAAATATGATTTTATGAAGTTATATTCGGTGGTTTGTGGTGTAAAAGACATTGAACAATACACTTCAAGGTCTTTTGGATATATCTAAGCCTTATCATTATACCTATAGGTCTTTGTGTCACCCAAGGGTAAAAATATATATAACTTCTATTTTTAGCACAAAAAAAGGGCCACAGAATTTTTTTCTTTCTGAAATAATAGTCAACAATCTTGAGATATATTCACTCAGTTGTCAAACATGTATGTACTTATGTACAGAAATAGAGAAGTTGTGATTATTTTATGGAGCACAATTGGACTTCTAGGTTAGCAAAAAATTGCATAGGGTAGCCATGTTTGCACGTGCACTATGGATTTAGCTCAAGTGGTATTTTAGGGGACTTTTAGTATGTTATGTAGGAAGGTTTGTAGAACATACCTGCCAAGATTCATTTCTTCATCATCTTTTTCCGACCATTTTGCTAATTTAACTGGCCTTTATAGAGTCGTAACATTACGAACGCTTTGTGGATCGGGGCCCAGAAGTTTAGTGGTCATATTTCAATAGTAAGTTCCGAATTTACATCTGAGGTCAAGAGTCTTTATATATACGGAGTGATAGATATTTCACTCGGAAATATTCAGAAGTACTCAGCAGCTTTCTCTGTTCTCTCTGGCTGAGTAATCAGCTCTGTCTAGTTAATTATCAGAGTGATGTATTAATCAGGACGACGCCCAAACGAGCCCAATACGGTTCCCAAAACAAGCTACGTCAGTAGGAACAAGAGACTCAGGTCGGTATTTCCTTAATATTCTCACAACCACTAAAACAGTTGACGGCCATTACAGGTAAAATTTCTCCCATTTCAGATTCCCACATTTAGATACGAGGGGTTCAGCCATTGCCTTCATCTATGTTGCCCAGTTACATCGACGGGAACAACTCACTGTACCTCCTTAAAAGATCGTCCTCAACGTTCGAATGAATTATCAACAACTCGTTCATCCTTGTTATTGACATTTTATTGTGTAGCTCTCTTGTATATTTACATACAAACCTGTACACACACAGAATAGCAAACATGACAATATCGAGTAACTCCAATCTGTATGTAAACGTAAGCATTATATGTACTCTAATACATCTATATCAGTAAGGAGAGAGTGAGTGAGTTAACTTTTACGCCGCACTCAGCAATATTCCAGCTATATGGCTGCGGTCTGTAAATAATCGAGTCTGGACCAGACAATCCAGACATCAACAGCATGAACATCGACCTGCGCAATTGGGAACCGATGACATGTGTCAACCAAGCCAGCGAGCCTGACGACCCGATCCCGTTAGTCGTCTCTTACGACAAGCATGGGTTACTGAAGACCAATTCTAAACCGGGCCTTCACGGATCCTATCATAAGGAATCCCCGATACTGTGTGACATGCTGGCGGTGTAGGAGTATGTAAACAATCGCGGCAGAATACATTGGTGAGTAGGCAAACAGTCAACGTGTGTCATGACTTGACCAGTAGGGGTTGTTCATTGAACAAAGAAGCCGAATCTACCTCCCGATGTCAATTTGAGAGGGTCTTGTCAATGACCATTGTGTCTGCAGTAACCTGATCCAAAGTCTGCAAATTACAGACTGAGGCACACTGAACATATTTGCCAGTGTGAACCATGTCAGACACACGTTATCTGTCCATCACTTGTAGACGACCGATTCCCAGTTTGAAGATTTATAGAAACAAGAAAAACAACATAACACCTACTTACGTGTGTCAAGTACATGACACGTGTCAAATGTACTAGATTTAGAAACAAGACAAACACGATAAGTGGGAAAACATCTTAGCGAAAGACATGAAATTGGCACAAAGGAAACAACTCACTTCTGTATGAAAGCTGCCTGTGACAACAACCTCAAAAATAATACAACAAAAGCATGTTTCAAAACTTCCTAAACGTTTTGTCAACAAGTAAGATTCAGCACATATCTGAACCTGTTTTCCGATAACCTTACAATATCGTGCTTGGATAATTTGATGGGAGATTCTTTAGGTAAATAGTACTGTGAAAATGGTAAACTGCAAAGCCCGAACCTTCAAACCAATATGTTTGCCAAGCCATGAGGACATAGAGGCGAAACTGATTTGGAAACTACTTCACAAAACCATTTAGGAGATAGTTTCTAGCTTTAGTCACAGTGCCGAGAGGCTTTGGAGTTTATGAGATTTGCTTCCTGATGCTGATGCGTTTTTCATTAAATATTTAGGCTTGGATTCTGTCTCTCTATCTAAATATGTGTGTTTACAATTATTATTCGCATCTTAGAGTACGTAGATAAGTACAAAGGTAAATGACAGTACGTGTTGATACTCTGAACACATTAAGGAGCATGTACCTGCAAGCATACCAGGTTTTATCACAGCATCAACAGATCCTACGTCATTACAAACCCCTGTCTTCTGATCACAAGCTACACAATCCCCACTGCATGTGTGCTGACAGTGACTCCCGTATGCCCCGCCCCTACACCCACGAGTACAGATACCGTCCACCTCACAGACACCATCCAGGCACCACCCACAAGCCTCGTCACATCTCTCTCCGAACCATCCATCAGTTCAGGCTGAACACCGTCCATGGCGGTCACACACATTGTCTCTACAATGCAGACATTTCTTGTGACAGTGTTTTCCATAGTACCCTGGAACACAGCCCTCCACACACGATCCATCATGGCTGTAACACAGGGAAGACTTGCAGGGGGCACTACACGGGGTGTGACAGTGTGACCCGTGCCACCCAGTCTCACATCCTTCCTGACAAACTGAAGTATGTCGACCACAGTGCTTGAGTCCATCTCTTCCTTTGTAGCACTTCTCGGGGCACGTGTTACTGCAGCGGTGTCCATGGTAACCTGGAAGACACTGTTCACATACCTCAGTCTGTCTGTCACAGCCACTGGTCCAGCAATGTGGACATCTGTCTTCACACTTCTGTCCATAGAAGCCTGCTTCACATCCATGTAGACAGTACCCCGTGATGCTGCACCTTCCCATCAGACAGTTGTCACATGATATGTTACAGAAGCCCCCTGCCCATCTTCCATCACACCCATCAAGACATTCTCCTGTGTGTATGTGACAGACTGATGCCTTGCAGTTGGGTGGACATCGTCCATCACAATGTGCCCCGGTCCAGCCTCCACCACAAGATTCAGAACAAGCACCTGTATGACGGTCACAGTAGACAGCGCCACCTACCGGAAAGCTGGAACATCGTGGTGGACAGGGTGTGTCGCAGTGTCGTCCATAGAACCCTGGCCTACATCTGAAACATTCTCCAGTGGACCTGTCACATCCGTCTCCGTCACAACGTCCTTGGCATGTAGAGCTGCAGTTTGATCCGTGACACCCGGTGTTGCAAGACTGACATCGAAGACGACCATTTCCATGTCTACACCCACTTGTGTAACATGAGTCGTGACTTAGGTGCTCTGAAATGTCTTTTGTTGTGTGTTAAAAATGTCAAAAAATAACCCGTATTGTATTTAGGAACCATATGAATATGACAAATTTAACTTGAACAAATTTGAATTTCGTTTCAGTTTTAATCCAATAACCATGGTGAATACTATTCCATTGTATCATTATATACATGTATTTACCAAGAACGTGTGTAACAGCAAGCAGGGCAGAGATCAG